TTCATCGATTACTGTGAGAAAGTATTTATTCCTTGATGAAGATGGCAGAGGTCCTTTAAAGTCTATACTAAATCGTTCCATGGGACGTGTTGCCTTTATAAGCTTATTGTTCTGACGCTGATAGAAATTGGGTTTCAGCTCAGCACAAATCCGACAGTTGAGACATACATCTCGCACATCTTGCGTTGAAAATGGCAGGTTCTTGGCTTTCACAAAATGAAGAAGAAGAGTGATACCCGGATGACATAGCCGAGAATGGATTTCATCTAGACTTATCGAAGCAGCAGCACTGTGAGCGCGAGTAAAGGAATCTGGAACGACATTGTTCTTTCCTTCCCGGTATTGAATAGTATAACTGAATTCCGCAAGCTCCATGCGCCAGGATTGTATTTTGCTGTTCTTAATCTTTGATCGTTTCCTATTGTCAAACATGAAGGATACAGATCGTTGGTCTGTTATTAAGATGAATGGCTAACGAGATAGGAAATGGCTCCATTTTCTAACCGCTTCAATGATGGATAGAGCTTCCTTCTCTACCGCAGGGTAACGACGTTCAGCACTGGATAATGTTTTGGACATAAATGCGATAGGTTTCCCATTCTGGTTCAAAGAAGCAGAAATTGCAACATCAGATGCATCACATTCAACAACAAATGGTATATCCTCATCAATTGGAGACAAAGCAACATGAGAAAGTTCGTCCTTCAAGGCATTGAACGATGCAAGAGCGTTTCTGTCAAGTGGGAAAGATACCGTGTCTGCTAATGGACGAATTTTGTCTGAAAACTGTGGAATCCACTTAGAGTAGTATGCGAACATCCCTAGAGCTCTTCGAAAAGATGAGACATTTGAAGGTGGTGGATATTCCTGCAGAGGTCGTAACCGTTCAGGATCTGGTTTAACGCTATCATGACTAATTCGATGACCAAGTATATCAATAACAGGAACCGAGGAAACGGTTTTCGATTCATTGAGGCTTTATTATTAATTAAAATATTTATTATTTATTCAGTGTTTCTTCGTTTGATCATTTGAAGGAAGGCAGCTACGTTTCTGTCGTGGTCGGCTTGATCGTCTCCAGCTACAGTAACATTATCCAGGTAGGGAAATGTATCCATTAAACCTTCTTGTGTAACTAAATTGTCTATGATTCTTTGAAAAGATGGGACTCCATTTGTCACTCCGAACGGTAAGACAACGAATTCGTACAGTTCACCAAGTGCTTCGAAAGCGGTAAACTTTGTCTCAGACTCTCGAAGAGGTATCTGGTGATATGCACTCTTGAGATCAAAGGTCGAAAATACTTTGTACTGTGAAAGCTTATTGATCAGATCATCAATACGTGGAAGTGGATATGCATCTAACTCTGTAAATAAATTCACAGTCTGGGAATAGTCAATGCACATTCTTTTCTTGTGACGTTGTAACTCATCACGCGCAATCATGACCTGTGCTCGCCATGATGAATCACTTCGCTTTATCAAGCCTGCTGCCATTAAGGATGAGATTTGATCTCGAATAAATGCACGATCATCTTTATTAAAGAACCTTGACTTCGTAGCAATAGGTTTCACGTCATTTGTTACGGTCTTAAACGAGGTAGGCGGGTCAACATCAGCTACATTAGCAATCAGTGGCGAAATAGGCTGCTTTGTGTCAAGGGCAGAGACTGTTTTTGGGAAGCTGCTTGAGACAATCAGGTCCTCTTTGTTCCCTCCAAATTGAAAAGTGAGGTTCTTGTGCTGTTTCTGAAAATCATATCCTAGAATGACATCACTGCAAAGGCTCTTTAGAATATCTAGCCTGACATTTTTATGTGTATTTCCATTCAGCACTATTTTAACATTACACTGGCCGATTATAGAAGACTCCATTGATGTCATTGCCATCGTTACTTTCTTGTCTGATGGTGTTGCGGGTATTTGCAACCTTTTGAATGCCTTTTCGCTGATAAAGTTTTCAGAGCTGCATGAATCAATTAAAGCTGTTAGGTTAAAAAATATCATTGACTTAAACTGGAACTGAAGCATGTCTAAGACCTGAAGGGCAGGCGGCTGTAATCGTGCAGAGTGAAGGCTTATATATTGCATTGACAGTAGCACTCTTCTTTGAGGATTGACAGACTTTAGCAAAATGTCCTTTTTTTGAGCAGTTATGACAAACAGCGTCACGAGCGGGACATGAAGCTCGGTTAGCATGAAGGAAACCTCCGCAAAAGTAGCAGGATTTTCTTGAAGGAGTTTGCTTTTTGAATGCAGCCAACGATTCTCGATTTGGATCAATAGGTAGACTAGCATGATCATTAGAAGAAACAGCAGCAACATTAGTGGGTATTAGTTGATGGCTTTGCTGCATGTATAGTCAGAGTTCTTCTGGGCAGTATGCAGTGTGCGAGCTATTTCATAAGCCCTGTCCAATGATAACTCAAAATTTTCCAGAAGTCTTTGACGAATATAGTTAGATGTAAGCCCATTGATGAAAGAATCCCTTATCATCGCAGATCGGTAGGTTTCAGCTGAGACTGCAGTGAAATCACAATGTTTACTTAATTTCTTTAGCTCTTCTAAAAATTCATCAAGAGATTCACCAGGCTTCTGTTTACGAGTAGCAAGTTCGTGACGAGCAAAAATATTGTTTGGGGTTTTCACATATAATCTTTCAAGAGTAGTAACAACCGCATCATAGGTTGTGCACTCCTCGACATAATCAAAGACATCTGCAGAAATGAAGTTGATAATAGAGCGAAATCTATCAGGAGCTGCCTCTCCACATTCAGTGATAAAGTTATCGAATGTTCGTTTCCAATGTTTCCATGGTTTTGAAGCATTAGGAGCGTTCGGGTCGACATCCAGTCTTGATGGCTGCAGCGCCTTGCTCATATTGAATTTATGTGTTGATTAGATTGTCATGAGGTAGAGAAAAAGTAATGAGACGTAGTTTAAACCTAAACTAGGCTGTAATCAACACATATCTACTAGTAATAAAAAACAACAACTACGCTTCAATGCGCTAATAAGTTTGAACACAATAGCGATGTGTTCTTTATTGAATGTCAACACAATACATGCAAATATTTCCAAGGAAGGTGACAATAGGCTAGTTTCGCCACAGGGATCAATAGGGTCTTTAGTTGTACATTTTTGTCTATTTGACAAGCAAGATAAAAATTATACGTACCATAATGAAACTTTGTCGTGAGTACTCTCTGTTAAAAATGGGTCAAATGTTATTTCGATCTTGCAAGTACCGAATGAGAGATGCCAAGATTGCGTGTTGCTATTCAAATAATTAGACGGGTGGTTGATTGACCTTATTGTTCGAAGCACCGCTGTAGAAAGATGTTATAAAGAATGTTTAGATACAAAATAAAGCAATCACATGAACCAAACACAATTGAATATGCAAACATCTGTAAACATCCATCTACATAAGCATGAAAAACCGGCTATCCACAGGTAGAGTGGATCCATAGGTAGAACAAAGAGATTTGCTCCCCTAACTAAATTTATACGTAGATAAAACAGTGGTACCTGTCTGACAATGTGTTCCTGACCATCCCGATGAACAGGAGCAGCTGTAGCTCCCGGCAGTGTTGGAGCATGTTCCACCATTAGCACAAGGAGAAGTCAAACACTCGTTAATGTCTGTTGAAAAATTGATTATCACAAACAATAAGTTATAAAGATATCAACAAAGTATTCATTTGCAACACTGAAGTAATAAATTTTATATCAAATGAGTGACTATCGCTACACTGGGCATTAGGCCTTGGTTAAAGGCAATATCCTCGTATTGTTTGCAGTTGTACTCATGATCGCTTTGACCTAAAACTGATGATAAAAACGATGACACAAATTCAGCTGATCTTCGATATGATTGGTCAGACCAAGCTATTTGTACATTCATTGGTTCAGATGGATCCACACTGTCAAGCCATCACCCGCGGCCGAGCCATTCACTTGCACCGCTCCTCTCTTTTACCAATTAGATGGATCCACACTGTTTCGAAGTATGCTTCCTGGCACAAACACCCTTCTTTTATAGGTATCTGTTCTTAAAAACTTCTTTCAGTAGAACTGTAGTCTTTAGCTAAGCTCCTCGTAAAATATCTTTAATCGATTCACCAAAGAGTTTATGCAAACAATCTTTTGGTGGTACAAAACTTGTAAATGGCTTTGAAAAAAGCAAACATTTAGTAAACTAAAGCTTTTCGTCTGACACTCTTCAGAGTTTAAAACGTCAGAACATAGATCGAAAACTCTACGCTAAGAAATATATATACCCAGTTGTGGATCGAAATAGGCCAATCAGAAACACGAGCACATGACTGTAAAGGTTGACCAATCAGTGCCGCTTGCCTATTAGAATGTTACCAATGGAGTCCTAAGGTGAAAACGAACTCCTTTTGTCTACACAGTAGCGGTTTTTTCGTGCTTATGTAGATAGATTCTAAAACTGCTAGGTGGAACGACGATCGGGCTTTACCAAATAATCCGAAACATGTCGCCATTATAGTTTTTTGCACAATCTGGGTTTTCTAGCAAATGCTGCCCGATAGCAGAATCGCAGGTTTTAGTTGTAATTTTAGATTTGCAAGACCGAGGTGGCTGTTCTCTTTGGGGATGGGTTGTGTTTCTAATATGAGATGGAACATGTTGTTTTATCCTATCCTCCAATCTTTGGGTGGTGCGTCCTACGTAGCCAGAATCACACTGGCACGTAAATTCGTAAACAACAGAACTTTTTTTTGTGGCAGGAACGCAGTCCTTTTGAATGGACGGAAGGGCCTTTTTCGTACTATAAACAACACATGGGTTGACCGCGAAGAAACAATTTGTTATGGCCTGTTTTATTTGGCTTTCAAAACGTAGGGAGCTGTTACCGATCCAGGATATTTTTAGATAGACCGGGCACTTTTGAGGACCAAATTTTACGTCAGCCGAGAAATTTCCTATCTTCTCCTTAATGTAAACTGGATAGCCGTTCTCCATAAAAATCTTAGTTAGTTTTTCAAGTTCCGAGTCGAGTTTAGACTTGGAACAAATCATTAGTGCCCTATGTGTAAGCGTTTTGATGAGGCTGATTTTTCTTTGTTTTGGGCAAAACGAACTCCATCGAGTGTATAACCCCGAAAATGTGGGTTTACGGTATACACTAGTGAGAAATCCAGTGTCAGATTTTTCAACCAAAACATCCAGAAATGGCAAGGAGTTATTTTCTTCCTTTTCAAATGTAAAATGTAGGGCTGTGTGAAGGCCATTAAGGCGTTTTAGGAAAATATCACACTCAGCCTCTGTTTTGAAAATAGTATATGTGTCATCCACATACCGAAAATAGACACCTGGCTTTTGGTCGCAGTCAAACAAACGCTCTTCATGAAAGCCAACAAAGATATTGGCCAAGGCAGGTCCCAGAGGGCTACCCATAGCGACACCATCCTTTTGTTGGTACATTTCATTGTTAAAGCTGAATTCAACTGAACGTGTTGCAGTTTCGATCAGTTCAATGAATACTTCCTCTGGGAATGGTGGGCTATTAAGCTCGCTCCGGTACAAAGCGTCGGCACATATTTTGAGGGTTTCACTCAGAGGGACGTTTGTGAAAAGACTACTAATGTCAAAAGAGCACATGAAAGATGTTTCATTTTCGATGTTCAAGTTTTGCATGAACTCAGCGAACGTAAAAGAATCCTTGATACAATGTTTCGAATATTTTTGAGGAACAGGGTCCAAAACTTCAGAAAGCCACTTAGCCAGTTCATGTTGTGCTGAGCCAATCATAGACAAAATGGGTCTAAGTGGAAAATTCGGCTTGTGTATTTTAGGGAGGCCATACATTTGTGGACGTTGTGAACCTGTGAGTCTTATCCTATCATAAACTTCGTTGGTCAACACTTTTGAGTTAACCAGCTCCAAAAGGCGTTTTTGAGGTTTCCGCTCTAGCTTGGCCGTTTTATCCTGTGTTTCGACGTCACCCAATTTTTCGAACTTTTCTTTGTCGAGGAGAATATTCTCCATTTTTTGGATGTAGTCCTTTTTGTTCAAAATAACCACTCCTGACCCTTTATCAGGCTTAGTGATAAAGATGTCATTATTAGACCGTAGAGATTTTAATGCTTGAAAATGTTCTCTATGCAAAAGAAAATCTGAGTGGTCGATGGGAGAGCCGCTGTAAGCGTACGCCAAATCGCTTAGTCGTGCTCGTAATTTGTTAAATTCCAAAGCATCAGAAATATCGTGTCTGGCAAGTTGAGCGTGTAAAATTTCGAATTCAGCAAAAAGTTCCTCTCTGTTTATTCGTTGTGGTGGGATACAAAACTCAAGACCATTACCTAAGACAAATGTTTCGGTTTCAGAGAGAGAACAGTCCGACAAATTAGAAATATGTTTTCTTGAATCGCTCATCAAGCCGCCAAAACGTTTCCTAACTAGCATGCCAATGTTCCTATCACGTTTTTCTGTAGTCTGTTTTAGCTTCCGCTGGTCAATTTCAGAAAAGTAGCGGCAAAGTCGAAAATTGTCAAAGAATGTGAGAAACGGACGCGTTTTGGACCATTGGCGTGTATATAAACGTTTTAGATTCAGAATAATAACAAAAGTCATCATAATAACAAAAGTCCTTGCTAGAAGAGCTATTTTACCTCAAGTATTTCAATTAAAAAACCATCAAAAAGTTAATGCAATGTATCTTATCTCAATTAATATAATCATTTATATTTAAGTTATTCAAATGTGCTCTTAAGTTGTTTGTTAAGAAATAATTTCTCTTCAATGCCTCCCGCCCCTGGTAGCTACATCCCCAGTAGCTACACCGCCAATTGCTACTCCCTATAGCAGCTTCGCCCCCAGTAGCTTTGCCCCTGTAGCTACGTCCCCAGTAGTTATGCCCCCAGTAGCTATGCCCAAAGTAGCTACGCCCCCAGTAGCTACGCCCCAGTAGCTACGCCCTCAATTGCTACTCCCTCCAGCAGCTTTGCCACCAGTAGCTATACCCCCAGTAGCTACGCCCCCAATTGCTACTCCCTCTCTGCCCCCAGTAGCTATGCCCCCAGTAGCTTTGCCCCAGTAGCTATGCCCCCAGTAGCTTTGCCCCAGTCACTACGCCCCCAGTAGCTATACCCCCAGTAGCTTTGCCCCAGTAGCTACGCCCCCAATAGCTACGCTCCCACTAGCTACGCCCCCAGTAGCTACGCTCCCAGTAGTTACGCCCCCAGTAGCTACGCCCCCGGTAGCTACGCCCCCAGTAGCTGCGCCCCCAGTAGCTATGCCCGAGTCTTGTTCTATACACCAAAGCGTGCATCATACACCACGCTTTGTGTAAACTGCTTACATAGATTAAAAATAACACAAATTCTTCAAATACCTGTTTGGCAATCATGACCAGTCCATCCTTGTGTGCATGTGCACGAGTAGCTCCCTACGCTATTAGAGCAGGTCCCGCTATTCAAACATGGATTGTTCAGACATTCGTTTTTATCTGTTTGAAAGATTGAGACAAACAAGATGTAACATCAAGGTTTAACATACTTTTTAATATTGCTTGTTCACCAGCAATTGGACAACCGATTCAACACATAAATTGCCTGGTCTCCCATGGGAGTCATTTAAACTTTTTACATACGGAATGGTCCATCCGCAATTATCAAAACTCACATAAAAGCATTGAAAACAAAATTTACAGAGCCAAAATTATCATCTTAAAAGTGTCGATAAGACCCAAAATTATCGAAGTTTAATATCTTGTGACAAACTCAGTCACAATAATTTAGATTGTTTCCTATAATAATCAGTTTAAACATATTTGTTCTTTAATCACTGTTTCTACCTTGCTTCTCCCCTAGGATTTCTATTTACGCGCTCAAAATTTTGTGCCTATGTTACATTTTTATCATAATTTATCGAAACCTTTTTGATGACAGTAGAAAAATAACTAAATAATTTAGGGGATAATGTACAGCGAAAGAAAATATTTGGATACATTTTAACAATTAGAGATGATGAAATTGTCAAGTCTGTTAACAGATAAAGAGAAAAATATGACGATAATGATTACATGGATAAAGAGAATAGATACACCGATTTTCAGCTGTCCATTCAAAAAGTCCAATCCTGCATAAAAAATTTTTCCTAAATTTATTCCCAACTCTTTAGGGCTTTAAACTAGAAATAATCCGAGTATTTATTTCCAGGAATCTTGCCCTTTTAGAAATCTTTTAGGCACGATCTAAGGAGAATCCATCGAATTTTCAAAAATATAACACCAGCAAATCGATTTAGTAAAAATTGCTTCAAGGAGAGCATTTTCCAGCAAACCAGAAGAATCAAAATGTGACGATGCCGCCACTGGAGTAAGTAAATCCTTTGCTGGTTCCAATAAGAAGATACATGGAACTGGAAGGCCTTCTTATCCTGCTCCGGCCACAAAATTAAAGCAAGAAATGGCTGAAAAATTCCAGACAATTCAACAATGCAATGTACAAAATCATCCCTTTTCTTTTCAATGGTTTTACGAAGAACGCTTTGCGGTGTTCTAAGGACATTATATAACAAAACTATAGCCATTATTGATGCATGCATTCCCCCCTCTCTGCCGTAAAATTTTTGCCTACAGCCGTAGAAGCTATCAAGCAATTGCCCTCCGATTTCATAAATTAGAAAGCGATCCTTTGAAGAAAAATTGGTTGGATGGATTCTAATAGTGACTTTCAAACCATAGCAAGACGTAAGGGTCTGGGAGAGGGTGTTTAGGACATTGAGTGGGAGAGGAGGCTATTGAAAGAGGAAATTGGGAAGGCGTTATCAAGGGTGTGTAAAGAGGCGATGGGAAGGTTTAAAAGATATTTTGGAGAAAAAGTATACGACAATATGTGAGAGGGAAGGAATCGAGAAGGTTTTGGAGAACGGAAATGGGAGAAGGTGCCACGAGTGCCACGAAAAGAGAACGTAGGGTAGGATGTAGGGGAGAGGATTCCGTACACAGTCCTGTATGTATACATCCTTATGTTTGACAAAATGCCATCACAAAACAAGCTAGCACTGTTACCTGTGCATAGGCGCGCCAGAGCCAGGGGGCCAGGGTGGGCTATAGTATGATATGAAGGTAGGTTGTGGCATCAAAGATAATGGTGGGAAACTATGTAAGGAGCTCTCTCACTTTTCCCCCTAGTCTAAAATGTGCTCTGGCGTTCTTTTAGAACTAACAATCATGCTTATAGGTAAGACAACAAACCGTTTTGTTTTTTCTTTTGTAGATCCTAACAATTGATCTGAATCTGTTGACCTACCTATTTGGCAATCTGTTCCTTCCCAGCCTGGTGCACACGTGCAGGAGAAGCTTCCAACAGTATTGATGCATGTTCCTCCATTATAACATGGACTTGTCAAACATTCGTTTACATCTGTGTAAGAGTTAATTATCTAAAGAATTAATTTATCTAAGAACTTTCAGGTAAAATGAGAAAATCAAGTAAAAAGACTGTCATTTTGCACAAAGAAGTATTTGTCTGATAAAAGTTTACGTTACTGAAAAACATAACATGCACTTCATCTTAGGGTAGAACTAGCAAATCCACATAGGACTCGTGTTAAACATTTTGAGGAGTTTTGATTGCATTGACAAATCACAGGTCGCCTTGGGCCGTGGAAAGCTCTTCTTGTATTATGACATCCAGCAAAACAAGAAAACATGGAATATGGAATGTTTGAATGCTTGAAAGTGGGAATGTATTTCCAAAACCTTTATATGGGCATGCTAACAAGTGCTATCGTAATTAATTTCAGGCCACCTTACATCATCTAAGTTTATTCAACTCACATTCTATCATTAAATTATCCCAAAATGCATTCTAGCATTTCGAAATTGCATTATATAACATAAAGATTGGTAAGATCCATTAGCTATCCCAATATTTATTTTTTTGAAAGAATGCTTTAAAAATAGAGGCCTAGCAACAGTCTCTTTATATAAAGCCTCGCTTCCTCTTGTCTTGATTTTAGCTTTTCGAAAAAACCATCATTATTGAGAACCTCTGGCTAATGACATGCTAGAAATCCAACAATTTTGTGAAGATCAGAACCAAGACGAAACACAAAAAAGATCAAGGAACTGCTTAGAAATTGCAAATGAATATGCCTAGAACGTAAATAATCACGAAATTAACTAAACTAACAACATAATTCTCAGAATGTTTGTTTACCTTCACAGATATATCCATCAGTGTTGGCACAAGTTTCTTTGCAAACATAACCCACTGTACACCTTCCTTGACATCTGGATGAAGTCTGCAATGCAAAGAGCGATATGCTTTTGTCTTACAACATCTAATTGAATCGCGACAAAACAACTCTGATGTACTCTAATTATTTTTATGAATCAATTGAAATTAAAAAAAATTATTTTGTGGAAGAAATTGTTCAGCTTTTTTAATTTCTGCAAAAGACAGCCAGCTTTCCGAAATTGCTTTTGTTCCGAAACCTGCATCAGAAACTCAGCCTTCCCTACCCTTGCTTTCTTGTCATCTTTCTCTTTTCCTCACGCCTTTTTTAAAACTAACACTTTCAAAACATGTCATGTTATAATTCAGTATGACTAAAAAATGTGTCAGGAAATGGGTAGCCGGTTGCAAGAACCAAAAAGGCAAAGAATGACACAATCGTTGAACGATCGCACGTTATGTTCGAGAAAATATGGTCATGAATTGATTACGAGGTTGTTTTTGACAGAGAAGGGGAACTACAAACGGAAGCGATGATTACCAAGCAATAAACTGGTTTGTGTCGCTTTTTTGTAGTGTTTGCATGAATAGAAGTTTTGTTAAAGAATCCTCTGACAAAAAAGGCTCAATTGGAGGAACGAAAATGATCCTAGGAGGGAGCATTGTGATACACGACTATCAATGAAGTGTGTTGTGTACTGTCGTATTGATGTAGGTGTTAGAACCGAGTTCCTTTGTCATTAGTAATGTAGAGGCTGGGTACTCCTTATATTTTGATAGGAAAATGTGTCATTCAGTAGTTATTGTGGTCGCACAAAACACACTGAACTTTAAATAGTTTGTTTTATTGATCACTGTTTTATGAAATATAGTCTCTAAATGCTCAAGAATCTAAACGAATAAAAACACTGAACAACTGCAGTCAAATTAGCAAACTAAAAGTATAATTGATTTTGCAAACCACGAAAAGGCTGCTAATCAAAATCGAACTTTGTTTTTGATAACAATGTAACTTTTTGCATTTTGTTAGTCTTGAGTATTCTCAATCTTCCCTAGAGCTAAGTCAATGCTACAACAACCTGATTTCTTTCCAATAACCTGTACGTATGAATTTAGAAATTGTAAATCTATTATTAAAAAGACAGCAAACAACTACCATGACGATAAAAATGGCACCCGCTTGATGTTGACGATGAATAGTATCTCTAATGAGATGTTTCAATGTATATCCATAAGAAGACCGTCTACTGACAATAACGTATTGCAGTCATTAACAATGACAAAAACAATCTCCTAATTAGTATGAACAAATTGCTGGCATACCGACTCAGTTGCATTCCAGTGAAAAGTTTATTTCTTTAACCCGAATATCAAGAAAATCTTTAGACTCTTTTCATAGCTATCCCAGATTCAATACGCAGAAAATTCAATCTTACTTGTCTTGTCTTGTCTTGTCTTGTCTTGTCTTGTCTTGTCTTGTCTTGTCTTGTCTTGTCTTGTCTTGTCTTGTCTTGTCTTGTCTTGTCTTGTCTTGTCTTGTCTTGTATGGTCTTTGTCTTGTCTTGTCTTTCTTGTCTTGTCTTGTCTTGTCTTGTCTTGTCTTGTCTTGTCTTGTCTTGTCTTGTCTTGTCTTGTCTTGTCTTGTCTTGTCTTGTCTTGTCTTGTCTTGTCTTGTCTTGTCTTGTCTTGTCTTGTCTTGTCTTGTCTTGTCTTGTCTTGTTTGTCTTGTCTTGCTTTGTCTTGTCTTGTCTTGTTTGTCTTGTCTTCTTGTCTTGTCTTGTCTTGTCTTGTCTTGTCTTGTCTTGTCTTGTCTTGTCTTGTCTTGTCTTGTCTTGTCTTGTCTTGTCTTGTCTTGTCTTGTCTTGTCTTGTCTTGTCTCGAGTGTTTTGGGGTAGGATGAGACAAAGCAAACTATTTGGTTACGCCCTTTTACTGTATAAAAACACGTCCTTTGATCAACAGGGAACGCCAATTTTATCAATAGGAAACGGCCATGGCTAACTTTGCCTGTTTAAAAACAGATTTACGATGACATCACCAAGAAAAGGTTGCCAAAACATAACCCCTTCCCCAAAGTTTTCTCGTAGGATTCAGACGAAATGCAACTTCGATCCTGCTGAGAACAGGGGGAAGTATCCCCTCAGTTCTTCCCGCTGTGGCACCTCGGTTGGTCTACAGGCTACTAGAATTGAGGAAACTTTTGCAAAAATATGTTGCAGGTGGTTGACTTTGTATGGAATCTATAAACTCATGGTTTTCAGGCCGTCGTTAAAACAAAGCAACAAAATATCCACAGTCCTATTTTCCTTCCTCTTTCACCTTCTCCTTTCTTTTAAAGCCTAGTACTATATTGAATGTTATGTAACATCGTGTTAAGTTCAGATATATGATTTGAAACTTACTTTAACAATCTGAAATGTTCTGAACAACTCACCTGTTCTACCGGCTCGTATAATATCCACCCAGAGGATGATATGATGTCATTGGTCTTGAGATCTGACTTCTCGTTATTCAACAACTTACAATTGCCCTCAGACAGTAGTTTGTTGAATGCGAAAGACTTGCACAGTGTGTTCTTGGTGCATCCCCTTGCACAATGTCGCACTTGAAGCTCCGTTGTCAATGATATGATATGCGATGAGCTGGACGTTACAGTCAAGTCACTGTACTTTCCTTTGAACAATGCTTCATTGCGGCAACTAATGCGTAAGAATTTTTGCAGGCCAAAAGCAATAGGTATCGTGAGAAAAATTATGCATATTGCACCTCTGTTCACCATTTCTAAAATGGTATCTTTGATAAAAATGAGATGTGTATCAGATGAAATGTTACAAATTCTTGCGTCACTTTCTTTGGCTTATCGTGTCAATGTCACCTGTTGGAATTAAGTTCGGATAGATAAAAAAAATGATTTTCTCAAAAACCAGATAAAAATTATGATTCATATCTCTGAGTTAAAACCATATATATTTCTTATCTTGAGCCCTGGAATGAAGAGAGACAAGAGAGTATAAAAATAAGCCTTTATTTCCGCCAAAGTTTTCGTTCGACAGTCCTCAGAGTGAAAAAGTCGGATAATGACTAAAGGTCTTTTAAGAGAAGAAGTCTTTTTCTTTGCCAGTCAAACAAATATATTAAGGCATTCCACCGCGTTGTAGAGTACATTTAAATTGAAAACTTTATATGAACGCTTTCACTAGCAGATGCTTAAGAGATTCGAAGGGCAGAAATAGGAACCACAGATGTGTCAATTTTTGCTAAATAATGAGAGATCTGCCTTTGAAAACTTTGTGTCCACCTTCATCAATATGCCTTCTCAACGCGATTTAGTATTTTCTGCAAATTGAGGGCACCTAACGAAATTATCTTGACAAGATTTGTCAAAGAAACAACAAAAAGCTACAAAATTCAATTCGCTAGAAAAATTTGCAGAAGTTCATACTGTCACAATGTCCCTGAAAAATTGAGTCCTCCTTTGTATCTTACACAATTCATTAAAATTTGTACCCACGATAGACAAAACTCCTTTCATCCCAACAGTCAATTCTCTCATTCGTCGTTGAGGTACTGGCAGAGGCTAATGACATGAGCAGATGAGGTATGCATAAAAACGTTATACCGCTTACCTTCCAATGCTTTTTAGTATTATCAGTCACCAACTTAAGCGCCTATGCACCATCGATTCTTCTTTTCTTACCGAGTTCCAGCTTTGTTATCAAGATGTGTTTACGTATCGTAGTTTGTAATGGTAACCATGGCTACATCTGAATAGCTATCTACACTGAATGGGTAATGTCTAAAAATGGAAGAGAAGTTTTTTATTTTGCAAATGAATCTTAGTGGGCTGAATACCTGCTAGTTAATACCAAAAAGGGAATGAGCGGCTGACGCTAAGTGATTTGAAAACCACTTTTCTGTTTTTGATAAATCGATAGATAGCTATAAATTCATGATGTATTCACAGCAGACAAATAGGGAACCACACTCGTACCATTAACCTTGTTCTTCACTTTTCTTATTCTTCACAACAAACTAGTAATGTTGTTGATTATTGATTGCACAGGAAGGCAATTTTTAACATAACTTTCTCTTTTAGGTTATATGCTCAAACTCCAAAACTCTAATAATAGATTTTTGTGACGTCATCATTTTGTCACTCAATTGTGTACAGAAGAAGCAAAAATCATGCTATAAGCTCTCTTCAGTTGAAAAACATTTCAGTTCAATTATCTTCGAAGCAGACATGATGGGTGTAAACTGAAATTCTTTGATATGCTATTTGCCTTTAAATATCAAAATGATCGGGGAAATGTGAATAAAAACGATACTTAATTTGACCATGAAAAAGTCTTCGATACACTGAAAAACATGTACAAAAAAAATCCTGTCTTCAACTCATAGTGGTTACTATAATGATAATATTGATGAAATTAATAATTTGGTAGCAGGGGTGGATTCAGAGCAAAGTTTAGGGAGGGGAAGTTGCTAATAGGGGAGCTGAAAAATGTTCAGTTCTTGGTGACAAGTGTACTAAAAAAAGGGTTCTTATTCACATTCTAAAGGATAATTTTACGGTCATCTGAAGTACAATATTTAAGAAAACTTTATTACACATCTCTTGATCCAACAAAGATATATACACAAGGTTCCTTCATTATCACACAAACCATATGACAGCTTTTCAATGATAGATTTAGAGCTCAATTTGGTGTTGGTGCTATTGTGTATGATTTTGCTGATGTATGGAGCTCAATCGATTAGCATGTTATGGCAGCTTGTATTGAGAACGCTATTAGTCGGTATTGACAAAGAAATTGTTGTAACGAAGGGTTTAATTGCTTAACCTGCTGAACTGGTCACTAGAATTGAATATGCTTGAAAAGTATAGCCTCGTAATACCATAGCCTCGCTAAGAGAGGGAAAGAGGGCGAATGATCCCTGGGCTGCTAGGTCTAGAGGGCAATTCATAAAAAGTATTTTCAAAGCATATCTTGATTCCATATCTTGAATTGAACAAAATTGAAAGTGACTAAATGATAATAATTAATTATTGACTTATTCAAAAGCTTTTCATGCTTGAAAATAACTAAACTTCTGTTCCATACTAATTCTTACTTTCAAACCAGAAATCCTGCACCAAAAATCCGATCACAGCTTCTTGTTTGGAAAAGTCCGATGATAATAGTGGATTGAGCAAAAAGGGTTGAAAAATTCACTCACCCTACAAGAAAAGTACATCATTTTAAAGAACAATCCATGCAGATTACGTTTCTTGAAAATTTATACCCTTAAAATATGCATGGAAGTAATAAATAGACACATAACAAATAAAAATACTCATAACAATTTCAAAATGGAAAACAGAATTTCGGATAATTTTAAGGTCATCTAAAGTACAATATTTAAGAAAAAAATATTACACATCTCTTGATCCAGCCAAGATATACTATGAGAGGGAAAGAGAGCAAATGATCCCAGGGCTGCTGGGTCTAGGGGGCAGCATAAAGAATGGAATATCATTTTAAAAATGGGCTTAGTCAAACGTAACATAGGTATATCTAAAAAGTAGCAAAACAGCAAAGCTATTTAAAGAAGCGTTTTGAAAGGTATTTAAAGGTCATTTGAAGCAAAATCAATTTTCACAAATTTTGTAGAGCTTTTTTTCGCTTGTCAAGATACCGTTTTTCATTTCTTTCTATAACTTAAACTTATCTAGATATGGCGACCGAAAGCCCGAAAAAGGGACCTTCAAAAGTGATGCCACTTGAACGCAGTCAGACCGACGCTGTGACGCAATGGGTTTGACACGCCCCCTCGATAGCCATTGGAGCCTTTGTAAGTGATGTTGATAAAAAACTCTTGCGAAGCATGAAACTTTATCCATATACAAAGTTTGATATGCTGAAAAAGATAAGATACATAACTCATCTGGCAAATGCCCCCTTGTGCTTTTTTTAGACTGGGGTACTCGATTCCTGGCCTTCAAAGGAGTCTTTCTATAAATCAGTTGCAAAATGCGATAAAAGCATGAAACTTTGTGAAAGTACATGGTTCGATCCGCTGAAAAGATCGGATGTAGGTCCCAACTGGCAAATGCACCCTTTAGCTATATTTAGGCTAGGGTACTTTAGAAAAAAACTTTGAATAGGCCTTCAATAAAACAGCTGTAAAACTTGCTAAAAGCATGAAACCTAAGAAAACTACATAGTTTAATACGCTGAAAATGATAGGATGTAGTCCCAGACTCCCAAATTACCCCTTGAGATATTTTAGACAGGGGTACGTGATTCAAAGACTTTGTATGGTTTTTTTCATATATCAGTTGCAAAACACATTTACAGCATGGAACTTGGTGCAAGTAGATGACTTGAGCGCTAAAAAGATAGGATGCAGGCCCAAACTTGCAACCAACACATGAGTTATTTTTAGACAGGGGTATTTGATTCAAGGAATTTGAAGGATTTTCCCACAAATCAGTAGCAAAACATGATAAAAGCATGGAACTTTGAAAAATTATGTAGCTTGATACACTAAAAAAGATAGGATGCAGTCCCCAACTAACAAATACCCCTTGTGCCTTTTTAAGACAGGTGTACTCGTTTCAAGGTTTCTAACGGGTTTTCTATTAAACGGTTGCAAATGACTTCAGCATAGAGCTTGGGAGAAAAGACCTCAACAATTGCAAAGCAGGAAAACAAGATTGTTCTGGGAAAAATATACTCACTGTGGAGCAAAATTATCGTGTAAGGATAATTAGATTGTAGTTATGACCAAATTTCACCATATTTGGTCAGCTGATTTAACAGTTACGAATGTAGACATCTTAGTATTTAAGAAGAATCAGTTTAAAACTTCTGCTAAGAAAAGCAGGCCTGTCAATTGACGGGGCAAGGGGGAATCATCCCTGGGCCTCTTTACCAAGATGGATGCACTGGTAATCAAACTATTCATAATAAGACTCTTAATAGCATGGTTATTTGCATTGAGAGAATCTAAAAATTATTTAGGGATATAAATCTCAAGTTCAGAAAGAAAATTCTATGCATTTCAAGTCCATATCAAATGCATTTTAGGTAGGATTCCAAGCATTGGGCCTGTTCCTGAGCGGCGTGGCTCTGAGCAGCCCTACAGAAATGCTTGATGTTCCTGAAAGGGTGCTAGTTCCTTGTGACAGAACTTCCTGATACAACAGCAAGTGTTGTTTTTATGCACAAGCGAGGAGCCGGTGTCATATGCATTTTATTTCGGTAACCTTATACATTTTGGTCCGGGTAACCTTATGCATTTTGGTCCGGGTAACCTTATGCATTTAGTTCAAAGAGCAATTGAACTATTTTTATAAAAGGGATGCAAGTAAGAATCGTTGCTGTGATTTCCGTTGTTAAGTTTATGTAAAAAAAGTACAACATTAATGGTGACTCCCAACTTTGCGTGATTGACAAGTGTAAATATTAAACTCTTAAAAAGATGTCAAAACATCGCACAATGATGAAATCACAAGATCTGAAACATATTGCGTTTTACAATGTTACACTTTTGCATAGGGTACCAAAATGCATATTACACCGGCATGGAGCAGAACCTTTTTGTGAACAAGAAGATTCATCAAACTTTCTGCCCAGATTTTGTTGGTCTGTAGAAGGAGCCTCTGATGATGGGACATTTTCTTCGTCGTGTGATTTTGACCCAAACCTGTACTCTCCGTCTTGATTTCCGCTGAATGACCTTCAAGGCTAATTATAGTTGCTATCAATACCAGGGCCCCGCCGGGGTGGCCATGGCCCCCCACCTTTTTGCGAAGCCAGTAGATTAAAGCTGTAGAACAAGGAGTAAGAGCCTTGGCCACCTTCCTTCTTAGCCTTGCCCCCCCCCCACTTCCAAATTCGTGGCGCGGGCCCCGAATACTCCTCCATGACCATCACTTCTGTCTTTCCTCGTTACTTCGAGTATTTAATTTTGAAATATGTTACCATTCGTTATGTCCTTGTTCAGCCATGTATCTGATCCAATGATAGCAGAATCTTCTATCTTTTTCTATCATGCTTTGTTATGCTTTTTATTACGCCTTTTTATTTTTCCCAAGTAGGAATTTCAAATAAAAGCCTGCTTTTAATCCCTGGATGACAAATTGGATTTGACAGAACATACGAGCTTGATTTTCGAATCTTTGCAGCCCATAAAAAGGTTATCCAGATAGGTTTTAAGAACTGATAAAGGATTGCAGAATTTAAGGGCCACTCCAGGCCAAACTTTTTATTTCCGTATACGATGAAATCAGACCTCCTGAAAACGAATCTGTTATTATTTTTTTCATATCTTTAGCCGTTTTGTAGTTATTAGCGTTTGTAAATTGGTCATTGAGTTGAATTGTTTTTCAACCGTGTTATTGGAGATCTTCGAATTGACGTCACAGGCATTTTCGGCCTCGGTAAGTTTGCGGCAAGTTTCATCGGCTGTCCAAAGGGTCAACGAGAACCTAGCGAAATGGCAAACAGGGCCTAGCAGCGGCATGTTTGTTAGAAGGCCAGACTTTTATCTATATAAAGAGACAAGTATCGTCGGTCAGTCTTGATATTCAGATCGAATATGGAAGTATTATATCGCACGACAGAGCAGTCAAATTGTCAAAGTGGGCCAGCGAGACAGAGACATGAGGATGTGGAAGGACGGGATAATTGAACGTTGCTTTTGATGCAGTCTGTTTTGGCAGGCCAACTGGTTTTTAAAAGAAGATTCGCGCTTTTTCATCAGCTCTTCAGTGCAATAGCCAAAAAAAGCCATCGCGCAATTTATTCGGGAGGAAAGACCTAAACAAAACCAGTATACCAGATTGATACAATAGATTCAGTAGGATAAAGAGCTTCATATCAGCATGAATTATTGAGAAAAAAACAGGACAATCAAGGACATGGACATGGAAGTATACAAACTTTCAAGAGAGGACTAAAAACCTACCATTAGTCATGAGTCAAACAACTTTTTTCTAAAATTATAAATTTGTTCTTATATCTATAGGCAAAATTTCTATGATTTGAGATTATATTAACATTTCATCTTTATCAATATACTTGTGTAAAAATAATTTTTGTATTGAATCTTTAATCTATTGCAGTGGTCTTGTCAGCTCCTTTAAGCTGTCAGAATTTTAACCTGCTATATATCAATGAATAATGAATACATGTTTGTATTTAAATTCGTAGCTACATTGAATAATATATTATAAATATATATACAGTCAGGCCAGTGAACTAGCTAGCAAATTTGTAATTTAAATTGCACATGAGAAATGTTCTTATAAAAGTATCATGAAACAATAATTTATTGCAAAATTTATAGAAAATACCTATATGCTCTGTGGATTTGCAAACTTTATATAGAAATGACCAAATTATCTATAAAATTTTGATAATTTCAAAAATAGTCTCCTTTGTAAAAGTTTTAATACAAAAACAGAACAATGTGTCAAGGTCTTTGTGGTAACTCTTGTAGGGAAAAGAGGGGCAAGTTATCACTTCCCCAAAGCCAGTAGCCAGGTAACAGGATGCATGTAATCTCCAACCTTCATCTAGAATTTTTGGCAAGATCCTTTCTGTTGATCCATAAAAATCTTCTTACCTTTTTGTATGCCTAGAATAATAATGTAGACAGGGATAAATTCTAACCTACCAGTGAAATTTACTTTAGAGTCACATTATCACATAAAATGATCAAAGAAATCATTACCTTGGACACTCAGGTGCATTCAGAGCATATATATTTAAAAGGATCAAAGAGAAATTTGGGGATGAAAGGGCAACCACTGTTGCTATAGCAAATAGCATCTAAGGATATTAATCAGGTAACACAAAGATAAATTTAAATGATATAGGCCATGCTTATATGAATCAATGCTAGAATAGCAAAGGTGTATTTAATATAAACAATTCTGCCTTTAAAACATTAGAATGAGGATATGACACATCTGTTCCCAAAACCAAGGGTGTAAATTCCATGTTTTCTCTTTGGGGTAGTAGATCTTTTGCCCTGGATATTGATCTGGCAAAATTTTGAAATTGTGCATCAGTTTTATGATGAAATAGGCAGAACTCCAAAATTGAAGGCGAAACATGGTAGAACATAAAAACTAAGGGTTGAGAAGACAAACCCTCGAAAATTTTACACATCTGTACCTCTGGCAAGGGTGTACTGCACAGATCATTGGCAAGTATGTAGTGCTAGGAGGCTCAGGCCCCCTTGTTGGTACAAAAAGTAGCAAACTTCTACTTTCAGTACTATTTTATATTACATTTTGCTTGAGAGCCCCTGTTGTACTTTTCTTAGTATCACACCTGACACCTCTAACCATTTGGTGGACAGTTCATGAGACTGACCCTTAGAAATCTTACGTTTAGAGGATAAAATTTTTCTCAAAGCCTGGGAAATTGCATTGCTTAGGGGGTGTGTGTCACACCTTCCCCAAACCCCCTCCAAACCATGGTAAAATGATTACAGGCACCATGGAGCATTGAGAAAAGTGGGGGTCTAACAAAGTGGGGGGGGCTTAAACCATATAAAAAGGGGCTTTACTGGTAGTTTATTACCTAATATTTAGCATTTCTGCAAAAAGTGGGGAGCTAAAGCCCCCCTCCCCAGCCCCCGTCCTTGCTCCGCGGTGCCTGGATAAGGATGGATTGTGACTTACGGGAAAGCTTCCATCTTGTGAATGGGATTATTCTTCTAATGCGGTAAGACATCAATTATTATTCACCTCACTGGAAATCCCTGAGATGAGACGACGATAAGAAATGCCTTCGGTCAGAAATTCATTCACATCTGAAAACTTGTGAAGCATTCGGTTTTGAAAAGCTTGCTGCGTTGCCAAGATGAGGATTTGCATTCAGGTTGAAGTTTCCATCTTTGATTTGTCGAATTACTATTCCATGTTGGCTGGAAGCCTCCGCTGGACATCAATCGCAATGAAGAAAAATGAATAAAACGACAACCGAGATTCGAACATGAATCGCCTCTACCGAGTCGTGCGAATTTCAGTGCGAACGTATAACAATAGCGCCGAATGTTGAAACAATGGTCCCTTCATACGTCACAAGGTACTTTTTCCGAAAAAAATTTTGTCGTATTTTTACGGTGATTCTCAACTTTGAGCGTCTATATCTGGAAAACGAGTTAAGCTGTTCGAAAACAAATTTCACGATGGCTTCTTTTCTCGACTAACTACCAATTTATGCAAAAATCTCAGAAAAATTTTTTGGGCTGGAGTGGCCCTTTAAGTTATATCACAAAAATAAACAGCCAGTTGGGTGAATATTTCAAAACAAGCAGCTAAAAGACCCTTTGTAGCTAACAGCTTCCACATTTGGTAAAATCTTCTTTTTCATACAATTTTAGAACTAGCCACCAGATCACAATTCCAATCCTGCCAATATGTTTATCACCATGCACCTCTCACGTGTTCTTTCTATGACTAGGCCCATAAATACCAGTGATTTAAAAATACGGTATGGGCTTCAAATCTGGAATTGCAAATCAACTTGATTTGAAAAGTAGTAAGAGTGTTACAATTAATCTTTTCTTTTCCAGCTCTTGTAAAAATCCACTTGGTCAATAGAGAGATGCTCGTTCCCTAAGCCTACCAGATCTACAGGATCTACTTGCTACAGGATTAATTAATTATATTGTGCCATGCTTCTTTGTCTATCTACAACAAATACACATATTCACTTTACTTTGCAATTGTGCTTCTAAATTTAACAACACTTTCTAAGATATGGTTTTACACCATACAGCATTGAGTAAATCAAATCTTTCTAGTCCGGAAATTCTGCAAATTTTAAGGAAAAAGCTGGATGATTTGAATACATCATTTCACTGAATTTTACTAAAATCGATGCAATTCTCATGTTTACTGCGTTGCTGATTGTCGTTAAATTTTATTTAAATTCATAGTTATGTTATATGCCTGTTTGCTTTGAATGGATAATTTATCGAATATTTCTAGAAAGCGACGTCAATGTAAATGGCAATGCAAGCACGTAACCTTCACTCTTGGCAGTCTTAAGCCATTATTTGTCTCTTGCCAGTTGAATTTCTGATTTGTCCATTTGGAAAGAAGAAATATCATCTATACATATCACAGTTTTGCTGTTTTTCTGCGCATAACTCAATTTTGTCACCTTTAAGGAGAATGGGTAATCGAACAATGTAAAAAGGACCTCCATGTGCTTTCCCATTCTATTTTCTTTGCAGAGAAAACGATTCCTTTTTGCCATTATCCACGCTTGAGTGGTTTAGCTTTACCGGGAGCCTTGTCTGTCATCAGCCGTTAGACTGTTACACATCATAGAATGAATGAAAATGATTCATCTTGCCATCAAGTTTGGACCATTGACCTTCTCTTATCTTATAAGCATGTCTACGAGCTTGATTCACTCCACCTTTCCATTTTATCTGCTTGTAATCCATTCCACTCTCCTTCTTCCTCTTTTCGTTCCATGTGGAATGTTGGAATGTCTTTTCTGAAACTTCTTAAAACGGCATGCTGACAAGTGCAATCGTAATTAATTTCAGGCCAACTTACTTAATCTAAGTTTATTCAACTCATATTCCATCATTCCAACATTCCAAATTTCCGACATTCTAGCATTCCCAAATTTATGTTTTCATGATAATATTACGCTTGAAAGGTACAATCTATTAGCCATCCCCACATTTCCTTGTTGCTTTAATAAAAGGTTGCTTTAATAAAAGAGGCCTAGCCACAGCCCATTATATACAGCCTCGCTTCCTCTTATTGCAATGCCAACTTTTCGAAGAGACCGTTACTATTGAGATTTACATCTGGCTAATGAGAAATCCAACAATTTTGTGAAGATCAGAACCAACACGAAGCACAAATAAGATCCAAGAATTGCTTAGAAATAGCAAAAACATATGCGTAGAGAGTTTATAACCTTGAAATTAATTGAACTAACAATATAACTATGGGAAAGTTTGTTTACCTTCACAAATATATCCGTTAGTGTTTGCACAAGTTTCTTTGCAAACATAACCCACAGTACACCTTCCTTGACATCTAGATGAAGTCTGCAATGCAAGGGGCGATATGCTTTTTCAGCAGTACGGCCGTGGGATCGCTTAGATGAGACCTTATTTTTAAGGGATGTCGTTATGAATCGGAAACAGTGCATGATAAAGTAGAGGCTACCTTTGCTTGTTAGTTTTTGACTCCGGGTCTTAATGGTTTTTAGTCACTTTTAAATTTTTATCTTTGCGTGTTTACTTTTTAAGAGGGGGATGGTGTAACCTTTTCAGGATTTAGGGATGGTGTAACGTTTAAGGATTTGTGATTTTAGATTACTATCATTACAATTATTTAGATTCCTTCATTAATTCTGTTGCGTGTCTATGTCACATGTTTTTTTATCGCACTGTTGTGTTTGTAACTTCCTATTCAGGGAATTGTGCGTCACTGTCATCGTGTTGTGAAAAGTTTCACAGTGTTCCTTTGTTTGTGTTTTAATATCATGTAATCACAGTTAGAATAATTGAATCATACTGTTTTTATAACAGCGAGAGCATCAAACGAAGAGTATCTTTGCGTCGTATCTATTCGGGACTCAGGCCCATTGGCCTAGCCCATTCGTTTACAAAGTCATCGTCGTAAGAAGAACCCGAAAACGTTACATTTGTTCAAGACTTCAATACCCTTGCTTTCTTGACATTGAGCTCTAAGATAATGCAAGTATACATTTTGTACTTCAGTCAGTTACACACTTTTTAGTCATACTGAATTATAATGTGTCAAATTTCAAGAAAGAGGAAATAGCAATTCACGAATTACGATGCAATGAATCACACGATCGTTGCAAGTTCACACGTTATGTTCTAGAAAATATGGCCATGAATTGATTATCAGTTTTTTTATAAAAGAGGAACTACAAACGAAAGCGATGATTTTCAACCAATAGACTGATTTGTGTTACTCTTGTGGATTGCATTTGCATGTATAGAAGCTTTATTAAAGAATCCTCTGACAAAAAAGGCTCAGATGGAGGAGCAAAAATGATCCTATGAAGGAGCATTGTGATACACCATTCTCAATGAACTGAACTATTGTCGCTAAACTAGCAAACTAAAGCTATATTTTATATTTCAAACCATGAAAAAGCTGCTAATCAAAATAAAAATAAAATTTCTTGTTTTGGACGAGGATGTAACTTTTTGCATTTCCTAGTGCTAAATTAATGCTACAACAATTTGATTTCTTCCTGATAACCTGCTCGTATGAATTCAGAAGCTGTAAATTTATTATTAAAAAGACAGCAAACAACTACCATGACGATAAAAACGGCACCCGCTTGATGTTGACGATGAATAGTATCTCTAATGAGATGTTTCAATGTATATCCATAAGAACACCGTCTACTGACAATAATGGATCGCAGACATTGACATGGCAATAACAATCTCCTAATTAGTATGAACAAATTGCTGGCATACCGACTCAGTTGCATTCCAGTGAAAAGTTTATTTCTTTAACTCGAATACCAAGCAAATCTTTAGACTCTTTTCATAGCAATCCCAGATATAATACGCAGAAAATTCAAACTTACTTGTCTTGTTGAAAAGCGACTTGGAAAGCTTCTCCACTGATAAATCATATTAGAGCCAGCTGAAAATGGCCAATTGCAATGACGGTGCCAGTCACTAGGCTGGGGGGGGGGGCTAGGAATTAGAGGATTTGGGGTTGGGCTAGGATGAGACAATGCAAACGATCTGGGCACGTCCTTTTTACTGCCAAAATACGCCAATACCTAACAAAAGAAATTTTGACATATCCAGATTTTATTGTAAAAGTTGGGCGTGGTACTTTGCTGGGATTAACACAATGGGCGTGGAAAATACAGAAACTGCCACCTTAGTGCTTACAGCATTTCCTAAATGGGCAGAATCCTAAATGATGTTTTAGAGACTAAAATTGTTTCTTTACAATATATGAATTGTTTAAATAGGAGAATTAGCAACATATAGCGATGTCTTAACTTGTCAGCAAAAAGTTATCAAAAGGACACTCTCTTACATGGTTTGTTCGGATCTTCATCAAAGTTCTTTTTTCCCTTCAACTTCAAAAACCTTTTTAGATCAATCTTGCTTCCCAGAGTTTGGTATTTTTGGTTTTTTGGAGACATATCTTTGCAGCTGTTCACGGAACTTGAAACTTGAAGGATCAAGCATATTTATTGCAATATGCATATATTTGTTAAGTGCGAATGGTCCCAGGGCTACTAGGTCTAAAGGGCCTCGTAAAGAAAAGAAATTGAATTTAAGAATGAGCTTAGTCAAACATAACATAAGTATGGCTAAAAAGTGGTTTGAAAAAACTTTGTAAACACTTTTTGAAACCCAATTAAGCTAGCGTTAAGGGCGTGGAAGAAAACTTTCTTGGAAGAAAACACCAGATTGGTTTCAAGAATTGATAAAGGAATGCAGAATTAGGTTATATCAAACAAATAAACCGCCAGTTGAGTAAAGTTATATCACATGAATAAAGCCAATTAAGTTATATCACATGAATAAAGCCGCCTGGTTTGGACATCGTATTACTCATGTCCCGTATTAAATAGACTCTATTTAGTACATGATAAAAACGACGTATGAATCAGTTTGGAACAGCACTTTTTATTTTATTCGACGCAACTATTTAGCTCAATACGGTCTGCCGTATTATTTGACATAAGTACGGTTCTAAGGCCTGGTTCAAACGTCGTATTATTCATGTGCCATATTGAATAGACGCTATTTAGTACATGATAAATATGACGTCTGAATCAATTTGGTACAGCACTTTTTATTTTATTCGACGCAACTATTTAGTTCGATACGGTTTCCCGTATTATTTGACATAAGTACGGTTCTAAGGCCTGGTTCAAACGTCGTATTATTCATGTGCCATATTGAATAGACGCTATTTAGTACATGATAAATATGACGTCTGAATCAATTTGGTACAGCACTTTTTATTTTATTCGACGCAACTATTTAGTTCGATACGGTTTCCCGTATTATTTGACATAAGTACGGTTCTAAGGCCTGGTTCAAACGTCGTATTATTCATGTGCCGTATTGAATAGACTCTATTCAGTACATGATAAATACAACATCTGAATCAGTTTGGAACAGCACTTTTTATTTTATTCGACGCAACTATTTAGTTCGATACGGTTTCCCGTATTATTCGACATAAGTACGGTTCTAAGGCCTGGTTCAAACGTCGTATTATTCATGGGCTGTATTAAATAGACTCTATTCAGTACATGATAAATACAACGTCTGAATCAATTTGGTACAGCACTTTTTATTTTATGCGACGCAACTATTTAGCTCGACACGGTCTGCCATAGATAGGTTCCAAATCACGTATAATCTTCTTTTTCATACAATTTTAGAACTAGCCTGCCAATATGTTTATCACCATGCACCTCTCACGTGTTCTTTCTATGACTAGGCCCACAAATATCAGTCATTTAAAATTACAGTATAGGCTTCAAATCTGGAATTGCAAGTCAACTTACTGCTGGAATCTTTTACTTAGGATAGTAAACTAAGAATTCAAACAAATATTTCGCTTTGCTACTTTGTCTCTTCAACTTGCTGTGAGGTAAGCGTCGTCATTTGTTAAAAAGAATGAAATAATCCACCGCAACATTTTTCTTCTGGATCCACATGTGGATACAAAGTTCTGCTTACCTTCAGTCATTATCCAACTTTTACACTTTGAGGACTATCGGACAAATGGTTTGACGGTAACAAAGGAACCTTTAGTCATTACCCGACTTTTGCACTCTGAGGACTATCGGACAAATGTTTTGACGGTAACAAAGGCACCTTTAGTCATTACCCGACTTTTGCACTCTGAGGACTGTCGGACAAATGGTTTGACGGTAACAAAGGCACCTTTAGTCATTACCCGACATTTGCACTCTGAGGACTGTCGGACAAATGGTTTGACGGTAACAAAGGCATATTTAGTCATTACCCGACTTTAGCACTCTGAGGACTGTCGGACAAATGGTTTGACGGTAACAAAGGCACTCCCTTAGTCATTATCCAACTTTTACACTTTGAGGACTATCGGAAAAATGGTTTGACGGTAACAAAGGCACCTTTAGTCATTACCCGACTTTTGCACTCTGAGGACTGTCGGACAAATGGTTTGACTGTAACAAAGGCACTTTTAGTCATTACCCGACTTTTGCACGCTGAGGACTGTCGGACAAATGGTTTGACTGTAACAAAGGCACCTTTAGTCATTACCCGACTTTTGCACTCTGAGGACTGTCGGACAAATGGTTTGACGGTAACAAAGGCACCTTTAGTCATTACCCGACTTTTGCACTCTGAGGACTGTCGGACAAATGGTTTGACGGTAACAAAGGCACCTTTAGTCATTACCCGACTTTTGCACTCTGAGGACTGTCGGATGCAGGCGCGGTCTGGCTCGGGTGGCAAAGTGTCGATTGCCAAGAAGGCTGGGCCTGTTTCGCAAAAGGTTTGGGAATATGAATGTTCTTCTATTAAATTTCATTCTCTCTTTTATCTAAAATATCTACTAAAGTTTAACTACAAATAGAAAATCATTAAAATAATAACAAATGCTAAGAGATATGTTGATAACCAACAATCGTCCATTAAGCCACCAAACATTACAATATCATCATAAAATGAGATGAATATCAGTTTCCTTCAGTCGTGAAGCTGCTCACCACGTATAGCCACGTAATAAAGTCGCATTTACACGAGCAAGCTTACCTTGACAAATTTTCTTTGAGAAGTTTATTTTGCTCGTCCGACAGGGGGGCTAAATTGACTAAAATAAGCCGTTTTAGTACGTTATCTTGTCAAATTTGCTCCGACAATAACCTAAAATTTCCTACGATGGAGGAGGGGCTGGATGTTTTTGACGGAGGGGCTGTAACCCCCCCTCCCCCTCCTCTAGCCCTCCCCTAGCACCACCACTGGCTTTTTGTAATACTTCAAAATATCAAATTCCTAATAAATGTTTAGAGTTTTGATGCTTACGTTATAATTTAAATACACGCTGATCATACAGAAAGATAATACACGCTGAAAATTATAATTTGAACACATGCAGATAATACAGTTTGTGTGCAAGTATTTTTAGTTTACAGATCATTATTTTACGAAATTCTCCCGAGTTATCTCCACAATAATTTTTGTCACTTAATCATATGAGTCAATCATTCAAAATGTCTCCTAAACTTTGCAAATATTTGTCAAAAACGATATTCCTCTGTAGTTCGATCTAGCTACTTTGCAACACCTTTAAAATGATTCCACCAGTTAGGAAAATCATAATGAATAAAAAACGCTATAAAAATTCTGATAAACACGGCACATTTTAATTACAAGTACAAAAGACACAATAAGGAGGTTGAACTGATTCACGCAAAGTACAAAAGGTGAAAAAATTGCATCACAAATACTAACAGCTAATAAATTAACTGGTAACTTGTATTCAAATGAAATTGCATTTAAGGCTGTTACTTCAGTGGATGTTACTCATTTCTATGAAACGATTCCTTTTTAGAAATGGCGAACAGAGGTGTAATATGCATGATATTTCTCACGATACCTATTGCCTTTGGCCTGCACAAATTTTTACGCATGAGTTGCCGCAATGAAGCATTGTTCAAAGGAAAATACAGGGACTTGACTGTAACGTCCAGCTCATCGCATATCATATCATTGACAACGGAGCTTCAAGTGCGACATTGTGCAAGGGGATGCACCAAGAACACACTGTGTAAGTCTTTCGCATTCAACAAACTACTGTCTGAGGGCAATTGTAAGTTGTTGAATAACGAGAAGTCAGATCTCAACACCAATGACATCATATCATCCTCTGGGTGGATATTATACGAGCCGGTAGAACAGGTGAGTTGTTCAGAACATTTCAGATTTTTATATATAGCTAGCTTTACATAAAAAAGTTGCATAAGTAAAGCTAATAAACTTTCAGTCAATTGTTTCCAGGGACGCCGGGACGCCCAAAGGACAAAGGGGATGCTTCAGCAAATGGGCATGTGATAAAATTCCCAGCTTCTACTAATATGTTTGCAACAGTGGTTTTTTTATTTTCTGTAGTCATCTTGTAAATAGGCCAAGTGCTACCATTAGAAATGTTTATAGATTTTGAGAAAAATAAGGCACTAAAGTCAAGGTTTCATAGCACCCCCCAGCACCCCCTCTCTGGCATCCCTGATTCTTTTCCATACGTATATCTAACACGATGTTTCACATAACAGTACAAGTAAAGTACAAGGCTTTAAAACAAAAGAGAAGGCGAAAGAGTGAGGGAAATTGAAGGGAGGATACTTTGTTGTTTTGTTATAACGGCGGCCTGACAACCACGATTCGTACCACATACATAGCAGCAGTTACCTTTGACGTATGCTTTTCCTTTTCAGCTCATATATAAGAAATTACCAAAGTTAGTCGTATATAAAAAGCAAAGTCATATATAAAAAAAATTAACAAAGATCTACAATCAGGGGCGTAGCGTGCCGGGGGGTGTGTGTGTGGGGGGGTGTACATCCCCAAGCTTCCAGAGAACTCGTCGGTAGAATTAGATTTATAACAAAATGTTAATGTAACAAAAGAATTTCTGTCGGTAAAATATGGTTTTGCATCTCTTAAATATGTTTTTGCACACCCCCCAGCGAATAATCCTTACTTTTTCGCTGCACAACTCTTTCGAGTCGTAAATTGAGCCAATCAGAACAGCATTTGAAGATAGTTGACTTTTGAAATTATCATTTTTACCCCTGTGCTTTCCCTGTGTCTTTTTCTGCATCCGGGTCCCTTGTGTTCTCTTTTGGTAGCAAAAGGCTGAAACCAGGATGCAGAACAAGACGATTTACGGATAACAAAAATATTTTCCTTTTTTCCCTGCTGTTTGCCTGCTCAACAGCAACAGTTTTAGTCATTAAAATTCAAGATCTCTTCGATGCAGATACACTAACAGGATCTCGCATGCTTTTGCAATCTTAAAAGGCGACCTTTGAAAGTATTTGAAATTGTTCGGGAGACGAAACCTTTAGTCCTTTGCTTCGAAACAATATCGTCTTAAACCAGTCAGTGTTGCAGGGTCGTGGCACATGCGCATTAATAACTGTATTCACACAAATGTTGTCCCTGTGACCATGCAACCCTTGAACTTCCTGCCAGGGCTTTATGCGCATGTGCAAATACCCTTAAACGGGGGCTAGTGCATATCTGAAAGACGGGCATGATTCTTCGCCCGAACAAGAAAAAGTTTTCCTGGTCATGTAAACATAAATCTCTTAACGAATGATTAAGGCTAGAGTTACACTATACCGGATTGCTATCGGAGCGGAGTAACTTTTACTCCGGAGTGATATTTAGGGTAGCAGTTACACTACGACGCTCCGCTCGCTCATAAGCCTGTATTCCTTTGCATTTCTGGTACACAAAATCCACCAGATTAAATTTTTTGATGATATTTTCGAAACTATGTGCTGTTGTGAATTCGTTTTCAATACCTAAGCATAAAATGACGAAAACAACCATGAAACTGAGAGATAAAAAATGGGGTTCGTAGGACGGATAACGAGATTGTGTTGCTATCTGATGTGTTAAAGTATGTTTTTCGTCCAAGAACCACTTCATTCAAATTCGGGAAGAGGTGAAATCCAAATACAAAAATGTTTTCACGATTTCTATTTGGCATTATCCAACAGCAACAAAATTTCAGAAAGCGCCATTGTTCACTATCGATCGAATTGCTTCAAGCAGAAAACAATAAGAAAATCCTTTGTTTCAAAGTGGAGCATATCGGATTCGTGCGATTACACTACAACGCTCCGCTACGGAGTGACTCCGGAGTGATTTTGGTATCACCTCCAGAGCGAAGTGATTTTCACTCCGCTAATCAAAGCGTTGTGTATCGGAGGGGTATTGGATTGGTGTGGAGTAGTGTAACTCAGACCCCTATCCGATATGAAAGTTACTCCGCTCCGATAGCAATCCGGTATAGTGTAACTGGCACCTAAATTCCCCCTTCTGAAGATGTTCTAAATTGTTTTTTCTAACCTAGTATTGTGTCCACAATTAGCTTGTAAGCTAAATATTTTTTGACACATAAATAAAGTTTTTGATTAATTGATTGATTGATTGATTTTCGTCGTTTTGCTTGCTTTTTCAAAAGAATTATTTACGAAATTTTAAACTTTCTGACAACTGCACTCTTTAAACTGTCGCTATATTTCCTCGCAATAGTTGCAGCGAATTTGCATAAAAATTTCTGCCAGTATAAATTGAACTTCCAATGCGAGAGAAAAATTCGCAGCTAAAAAATTCGTGGCGAAAAATTCGCTACGCAAGAAAAATTCTTTTTGTGTAAATCAGGCTTAACGATTTCTTTTATCGCTTTGCTTGCACTAATTCCGTATGTCAGCAATTTGTTCATGCTAATCAGGAGATTGATATGATAATTGTCAGCAATTCGCCATTGTCAGTAGACGGTCTTCTTATGGATACACATTGAAACATCTCATTAGAGATACTATTCATCGTCAACATCAAGCGGGTGCCATTTTTATCGTCATGGTAGTTGTTTGCTGTCTTTTTAATAAAAGATTTACAGCTTCTAAATTCATACGAGCAGGTTATCAGGAAGAAATCAAATCGTTGTAGCATTGATTTAGCTCTTGGAAATGCAAAAAGTTACATTCTCGTCAAAAACAAGAAATTATTTATTTGATTTTCATTAGCAACTTTTCCGGGGTTTGAAATATCCAATATAACTTCAGCTTTGCTAGTTTGACCAACGTAGTTCAGTTCATTTATAACGGTGTATCACAATGCTCCTTCATAGGATCATTTTTGCTCCTCCATCTGAGCTTTTTTTCAGAGAATTCTTAAACAAAGCTAGTATTAATATAAATACATTCTACAAGAGCAACACAAACCAGTCTATTGCTTGATAATCATCGCTTTCGTTTGTAGTTCCTCTTCTCTATCAAAAACAACCTGGTAATCAATTCATGACTATATTTTCTCGAACATAACGTGCGATCGTGCAACGATTGTGTCATTCTTTGCCTTTTCAGTTCTTGCAACCGGCTACCCCATTCTTAACACATTTTTTAGTCATACTGAATTACAACATTAGATGTTTTGAAAGTGTTGGTTTTCAAGAGGCGTAGAGAATATAGAAAGATGACAAGAAAGCGAGGGTAGGGAAGGCTGAGTCTCTGGCGCCGGTTTTCGAACAAAAACAATGTCGGGAAGCTGGCTGCTTTTTGCCGAAACTAGAAAACTGAAAAATTTCTTCCACAAAATAATTTTTTTTAATTTCAATTGATTTATAAAAATGATTAGAATACATCAGAGCTGTCGTGTCGCGATTCAATTAGATGTTGTAAGACAAAAACATATTGCTCCTTACATTGCAGACTTCATCCAGATGTCAAGGAAGGTGTACCGTGGGTTATGCTTGCAAAGAAACTTGTGGAAACACTGATGGATATACCTGTGAAGGTAAACAAACATTCTGAGAATTATGTTGTTATGTTAGTTAATTTCGTGATTATCTACGTTCTAGTCATATTTATTTGCAATTTCTAAGCGGTTCCTTGATCTTATTTGTGCTTCGTCTTGGTTCTGATCTTCACAAAATTGTTGGATTTCTAGCCTGTCATTAGCCAGAGGTTCACAATAATGATGGTTTTTTCGAAAAGCTTACATTAAGACAAGAGGAAGCGAGGCTTTATATAAAGGGACTGTTGCTAGGCCTCTATTTCCATATTACATGTTTCCTTGTTTTGCTGGATGTCATAATACAAGTCCTTACTTAATCAAATTTTCGGGAAATTTATGGAAAATAGGAAAATTCGGGCAAGAATCCATTGACATCCCTCTCAATACTTGAAGATCAATAAACTCCTGAATTTAACAGTTCTAAGTTAATGAAGTCCTTGATTGGCTTAAGCAACTAATAACACTTTCTCTTTAACCTTATCCAGTGGTGGGGCTGCAATGGCCCTCCAAGTGTGGGCAGTCCTCTCTCACTCTTCAGGTCCTCTGCACATTGAGATGGAGCTGCGATAGTTCCACTGTGTAATCGGTAAAAGAGAGGGGCGGTGCGGGTGAATGGCTCGGCCTCGGGTGATGGCTTGACAGTGTGGATCCATCTTAACCAATGAATGTACAAATAGCTTGGTCTGACCAATCATATCGAAGACCAGCTGAATTTGTGTCATCGTTTTTATCATCAGTTTTAGGTCAAAGCGATCATGAATACAACTGCAAACAATACGAGGATATTGCCTTTAACCAAGGCCTAATGCCCAGTGTAGCGATAGTCACTCATTTGATATAAAATTTATTACTTCAGTGTTGCAAATGAATACTTTGTTGATATATTTATAACTTATTGTTTGTGATAATCAATTTTTTCAACAGACATTAACGAGTGTTTGACTTCTCCTTGTGCTAATGGTGGAACATGCTCCAACACTGCCGGGAGCTACAGCTGCTCCTGTTCATCGGGATGGTCAGGAACACATTGTAGGAAAAGTAAGACTATGATCTACGTATAATTTTAGTTAGGGGGGGGGTTAATCTCTTTTGTTTCACCTGTGGACCAACCTCTCCTTACATTTCCCATTTTATGGCTACACGTGATTGCTTTGTTTTGTATCTAAACAATCTTTGTAACATGTTTTTACAGAAGTGCTTGGAACAATAACATCGATCAACTACCCGTCTAATTACTTGGATAACTACGAGGAAGCTTGGAATCCCATTTTATGGCTACACGTGATTGCTTTGTTTTGTATCTAAACAATCTTTGTAACATGTTTTTACAGAAGTGCTTGGAACAATAACATCGATCAACTACCCGTCTAATTACTTGGATAACTACGAGGAAGCTTGGAATCTCAAAGCTGGTAGTACTTGCAAGATCGAAATAACATTTGATTCGTTTTTAACAGAGAGTACTCACGACAGAGTTTCATTATGGTACGTATAATTTTTATCTTGCTTGTCAAATAGACAAAAATAAACAACTGAAGATCCCATTGATCTCTATTTTTTTCAAAAAAAACATTCTATCTGGATATGGAAAACCAGTTTAACATGTAAATAATATGTTAAGGTATTGTTAGCGAAAGATTCAAAGTTTACTAAGGGACTACATTTATTTTGGTTTGGGTCATAAAGTTATGGACAGAGACCAATTTACAGAGATTTGATGAAGCAAGAGCTTGTGCTTTTAGGGCCAATTCGTAACACATTTATCTGATTGTACACATTTAGAGGTATTTCATGATGCCCTCTTAGTTTATGTGCTCGTTAAGTTTAATTCTAGGTATAAATTTTTGGGTGATGTTTTCACTTTAAAACTGCAGTTTTAAAACAAGTCTACCATGATTAAAAGTGTCACCATAGCCCATTTTACCCTGTTATCTTTGAATCGTCCAAAAAGTCTGACTCGTTCTTAAAAAAATATGTTTTGGCCCTATTTGCTTGTCGCTGATTCTGTCTACACAAATATAATTTTAAACGAGATAGCAACAAATTTTTTGCGCCTTTATCTCCCTTTTACATGATAAAGACAAATCTTTGACTGAACCCATAACTGTGAAAACCTCTTCTAGAATCGTATTTTGAACATTTAATCAAAATGGTTAAAAAACTCATCGTGTTCATGTAGACAGAGACTGTATTCAAAATTTATTGTAATAAAATGTTATTAAATAGAAGTTTTCCTTTTAAATTTTTCAAAATTTATCGTTTCAGGGACGGCAGCCCTTCTTCTTCTTCTTTGATTATAACACTGAGTGGAAACCATACAGGTGCAACCTATTGTTCAACTGGCTTTTCGATGTATGTTAATTTTACAACTGACCACTCTAAAGTTTACACTGGTTTCAAAGGAACGTATAAATGTGTTCCTTAGGACATTCCAGGTACTCAATCATCAATGTTTGTCTCCATTATGTAATTATTGTTTGTTCTATGAAATGTGGTAATGAGTGGGTAAGAGATCAAGTAGGGCTAGAGGAGAGGAAGAGGAGAGGCGACAGCTTGGTACTTGCTTCCATCGAAGGAGAGACAAAAGGAGAAACAGAAAGAGGAAGAAGGAGAGTGGAAAGGATTACAAGCATCATAACATGACAAAGTGGAGTAAAGCAAGCTCATAAAAATGCTTATAAGAGGAGGCCAACGGTAGTGGCTGCGCCAGCTTTTGCATAGTGGGAGGGTGTCGGTGGTGGCCAGTGAAACAACGCCCTTTTTGTCTCGTCTACAAAATGACGAAAATAAAATCTACCCTTCCAATAGCTTTTGAATCAATGTTCAGAAAAGCCATGTGAACCATGTTTTTACAAATGTGGAGGGATGGTTATTACTCCCCTTACCCCCATTTTTGCGCCGCCACTGGTCAACGGTCAAATCTTGATGGACAATGACAACATCATCGATATGTAACAATGATATGTAACAGTCTAACTCAATAACGGATGGTGGCAAAAAATTATCATAGTTACTCAGTAAAAATCATAGTGTGGGAAAGCTCGTGGAGCTCCTTTTTGTATTATTTGATTACCCATTCTTCTTGTAAGTGACAAAACTGATTTATGCACAGAACAGCAACAAAGCTGTGATAGGTATCCATCATATTTCTTCCTTCCAAATGGACCAATCAACATTTTTGTCAGCAAGGGACAAATAATGGCAGCATTCTTCATTCTTCAGACTAAACTTTTCAGTCCAAATTTTAGTTTCATACAGCAGCTCTTTTCAATTCTACTGTATATTCAATATCAAACGAACCAGTGCTCTACAAGAAAAGGTCTTTTCGACTTCATCTTGTCAGGCATTGTTAAAATAAAACTATAAAGAATATTCGTTAACTTGATATAATATATCGAGAAATGATTTGAATTACTCGACGCTGTATGGTTTAAATCCATATCTAAGAAAATTTTGTTGAGCACAATTGCAAAGTAAAGTGACTAAGTGTATTTGCTTAGTTGTAGATAGTAAATGAAGCATGGCACAAAATGATTTGTTAATCCTGTATCAAGTAGATCTATCTTGAGGAATTAGATTTTTCTTGTTCTATTTGAATGTACATTTTGGCATTGCAAATATAGATCTTTGACTTAGGCAGCAAATATTTTGTCAGTCCTTGTCCTGATTTTGTATGTTATTTGCACTGAAAATTAGTTTGAATGTGTACCATCACCAATTGAAAATCTTTTTATTCACTATTTTTCTCATTCACAAAGATTGGATCGAAATTTAGAGGAACTTGCAATTTTAGGAAAGTTAAAAGAAATTCTCCTTAAGGTTTACGGCGAACTCTTTCGAGTCTTTACATCTGGTGACGTTCACATTGTTGAGAACTATCGTTCTATTTCAATCCTATGTAGATCGAAGAGAGGATAGCATCAAACATATTTACTCATTCCCAGTCAAGGAAAGATTGCTTCACAAGCTATAATCAGGGTTTAGAAAACTCCACTCAACTACGTCTGCTTTCCTACACATGATAGATACAAATTACACTGACATGGATAATGGTCTGTTACAGACTAATGCTAAACTAGCTAAAATATAACTAGCAAAGAAAATGCTAAACCAACTATTACTAGTGTATGAAAGACTCTGATAGGTAAACGTAATCAGCTACTAAATAAATGTTGTTATTTTCGGTTGAATGAAATGAATTAGAAATAAACTTAAAAAGGCTTTCGATACGGTGAACCACCAGATCCTGATATCCAAATTCAAAGTCTTAAATTCAGGTGTACACTTGCTACACTTGCTGTCCTCATACTTAGAGTGTAGAGCACAGTTCATTGATTTCTATAAAAAGCCATGTCGTTCTGCAGTTATTTCTAGTGGTGTTCCTCAGGGCCCCATCCTCGGACCACGTTTATTCTTATTATATGTAAATTACCTATTATGCCTTATTGATTCCCAAACAGTAATGTTTGCTGATGATACAACAATCCGGTCACATTGGCCCTCCCACAGTAGTCTTTCTCCAATCATTAAAAAGGACTTTGACAGTGTTAGCCTATACTTTCCTATAAACTATATTGTTTCTAAACCTACCAAGTGTGTTGGATTCTCGTTGGAGCAAAACTTGGACTACTCTTTACATGTCAATGATACTTGTAGATAAACAATTATGGCCTCCACATAATAAGACGTGTTGAACCTGTCGTGCCAGAGGGTAGTTTTATCCTCCTTGTCAACTCTCTTGTTCTAAGACCCCGTTTACACTGTCCCATGCAAGTCAAAACTGCCACGGTTCGCCCTTCGATTTACACTAGCACTATGGAACCGAGACGATTTTGCTCTGCTATCCGGATCAGTTTTGACCCTGCTTTGAAAGCGAACGAATTTTGTACCGTCACGGTTCCGTTTTTGAACGGGACAGTGTAAACACTTATTGGAGACGATTTTGTCATGGATTCACAAAGAGGTCTTTTGTATGGCTGTTTCAAAGAATCGAGGCTTTGATTTTGGCGCAACTACGTTGTCAAATTCCTTATTGCATTGTTAATTTCAGTGGCAGCGATTGGCTGAATATCTATTGAGCAGCTATGATATTCAGCCAATAGAGATGGCTAACACCGTCTTTGACAACGCCATTTACAATCTCTTCTGTTGTATTATTTCCCATTCCATGCCTTGATTGGACTTAGAAGTTTTGTAGTCTAAAATAACACTGAGAATTAAAGCCACCTCGTCGTCCGTCCAAGTGAAGTTTTTATCGGCCTTCTTCTCCATTTTTGCTCTCAATACAATTTCGATTGTTGATTGTGGTGGCAAAATAAATGCCTCGGTTGACGAAATACAGCCTCCTCTAAACAAGTTTCTACCATCGAATTAAGATCGTACCAGTACTTTGTAAACGGAACGGCTAAACGGAACAATTTGGAAGGGCGACAGCTTATTCCCAAAGTCTATTTTTTTTAACTCAGTCAGGCATTCATATCTCGCGAGGGCATATCTTGACTGCGGAGGAAACGATAGAATGCGAAGTCTCCTCCGCAGTTTAGATATGCCCTCGCAGTAGTACGAATGCCTTACGGCATTGCAAAATAGACCTTGGGAAAGTCTAGTGTAATTGTGGTCCAAGTCAATTGGATTATTGCTTGCCAGTTCTGTATAACCTTGGCGCTGGCCAAATCGATACACTCTTGAAACTACAGAAGCGATGTGCTCGTTTGATTTATAGCTGTAACAGAAGGACACCTAGCAAGCACTAATTTATTAAAGGCAATCTGTCTCGTTGTGGATTGGTTAACGAGAACAATAGCTGGAACAATAGCCTAAACAAAATTCCAGCGCTCCGCCATATTTTTTACAATGCGATGAATAAAAGGGGGGCTGGAAGCAATAAAAAATCCCTTTGTTCTTATAATCAATCAACGTCGTGACAGATTGCCTTTAAACTAAATTGGCTACCTCTTCAAAAGCGGACTGAGTTCAACGTTTGTATCCTCATGTTTAAAATATTCGCAGGTGCGACTCCGCCATACCTTTCAAAAGTGCTTATGCAAATTACAGCGAGTCATAGACATAGGACATAAAATGCCAGTTGGGGATGCCTGTACATTTCAAGGGGCTCTCAAAGGTCTTTTAGACAATATGGAGCAAGGGTATGGATCTATTTGCCCTATTCATTGAGGCAATGTGACAATGTCACCTTTATAACCTCTATGGGCAGAGAAAAGTCGGACTCTTCCAATTAGTATGGTTGGATTCTTAAAAATCTTTTCAACTATAATTTTTGCTATCTTTTTTACTGTCATCAATCATCAATATGATTATAGCTGATTATTTAAATTTTGTACTAAAGTTCACTGTTTCTATTTCTTTTTAGGTTGATTTTAGAATATTTGTAATTTTAATCAGTGAACCAAACTGAAAACAGGTTTTTGAATTTATTTTGTAATTCACATTAAAGATTATTATAAAAACGTTCTTAATCAAGTTTCTGAGAGAAGTCTCCTCTTAAGATTTCAAAAGACGCAAACAAAAAACAGGCCAACCTTTGTCCCATATTCCATCGTATAAAGCAAACAACATGCTTTTATGTTCAATAGCAAGAACTGAGCGAATTGAGTAGGAAGTAAGAGGTAGAGCAGGTGGATTGAATTTTCCAAGCGGTCAATCCCTTCTTACCTTTAAGGTCATATTTTTTATTTCGAGATGAATTTTCGTGGGTCATATGGAACTTTCCCTTTTCTATAGAATCTTTTTGGGAAAATGGAAAATTGTGGGTCAGCAAACCAAAAATGAGAATCATTCTGCAGAAAACTGTTTGTAAAAAAGTGAGTTTGAATGCTGATGTTTCATCATTTTTAAAGAAAATTGACTAGGATCTGACGAGAGACATGAATCAGAACAAGAAAAAATGCATGCTTTCTTTTGGAATACCCTTCGATTAAAACAGTGAAATTGTTCTTTCTAGAGATTCCTGAAGCACCAGTTGATTCTGAAATTGTCCCCCGGGGTAGTGTTAACGTATAGGGTGTGTTCTTTCTAGAGAGACTTTAATTTTGCCGCCAAAATCAATACAACACCCTGTTCATGCCTGCTACGTTCCATTTCATATCAGTTCTATGTAAGAGAGCTTCAGTTTGAAACAATAACTTAAAAAACACTCAAATTCCTAGTTACGTCATATATTATATTGTAAGCACGTAAGTTAGTATTGTCAATTTGAAACAACACCTGAAAGAATTGTAGGAGCTACCTGCAGTGACAATACGAGAAAATCTTCTTCTTAATATTTTATTTATCATGTAACCAATAAATGATTACTTAGTGTAACGTCAATCTGAATCCTGAACCACTCTAGACACAGGACTAAATTATGAAAATAAAAAAGATTTCCCTAATCTTTTTCGCTGTACATATAACACCTCACCTATTTGATCTACAGTGTTCCATCTTGATCAAGAAAACAGCAGAGTTGCTGCAAGAATATCGACTTTGATTTTTAACTTTTTCTCTAGATTTAATTATTGTAAAAACTTTTTAAACTATATTATTGTAACATTTATATCGTATGTACATTAGTTTCACAGGTTCTTGATTGATAGCAGCAAACTCATTTTTGCTGAACAAGTTTACCTGTAAAAATATGGTCTTATTATTATTATTATTATTATTATTATTATTATTATTATTATTATTAGGTTAACTCACCGAAGCAATCATTGGTCAGCTACGTATTATTTCCTCGGCCGCAACTCGATGTTTATGGTCAAGGAGGACATTTTATGATTGTATGATAACGTAGGCTAATGGTGATGACATATTAAATTAATGCTAAGTTTATTATAGTCAAAAGAAATGAGAGGGGGGAGGTACTATTTTGCGTTCAGAAAATTTTTCAATCGACTGAGCATGATTAATATTTTCCCACCCTTTTTTATCATTCACAATTTGCGTCAGCTTTTACAAGGCGGTAGCAGTAGCTTCTCATCAGTCTCCATGTCTAGAGAATAATTACATAAAGTAACTGAGAGGAAAGCCATTGCACATGGGAAAGAAGGACTGCATTTTCCTTAAGTGGAATTTAGTATCACTTCACTTCAGCCACACAAACCTCTAAGCCGCCATGTAAATATCTTTACATTAATTTGTAAAGGTGAGTTCATATTTGTTAATTATGTAGATTAAACTGTTTTTAAGGCTTCAAAACGATGATTGTTCCGTACGCTACCCTGGGCACCAGAGCTTCATAATTTTGGGATTGAGTATTGTAGACAGTTGCAGTGGCAAAGAATGAGTGGATGCGAACATCCACTCAAAGAACATCAATTTGTTCTTGCTCAAAGAATATCCTTTGACTAGCTTCTGACTTTATTTCTGAGAAAAATTAACAGAGACTTTGGTACCCAGGGTATCCATATAGCATAGCTTCTATTCCTTATGCTTGCTAATATTGTTATTTCCTGTAATAATTTTCGTTAACAGTGCGCTTGTAATAACATCAAGAGCAGACAATTTAAAAGTGTACAAGAATGGTCAAGCACCAAGCAACATTTTAATGAAAATGAACAATGGTGAGTCGCACAGTTGCTATCATGATGAAACGGGTGGTTTTCAATAGAAATGGAGAAAGAATCAATTCCTATTAGAGTAAACCCTTTTGGAAAAAAGTCTTTTCTGTGGTTTTACAAAGCTTTTTAAGGTTATTGATGAGAACCTTCTGCAGAACTTGTGAAAATTGCTGAAAAGATTATACTTCCTCACGTAGCTATTACAAGGTCATCTTCAGTTTTGGGAACAAATGGTGCATTCTTAAATAAACGAATTGAAAGTAAAGGGGAATAGAAAAGCACGCCCTTTCTATTTGATATTGCCTGATAGTTAGGGGAAGATCAGTACAAAGAATATATAAAAGAGTTACACCATTTTAGTAAGACGTAGAATATTGCTCCTGACAAAAATACCGAAATTATCGTTCAAAAAACAGTGCCTAGATGTGCCAGCTACTCCTAATACAACTGCCATCAAGCAATTTCTAGACCAGTTTAGAGACGTTAGAGAAGTACAGTTTAGAGACGGTGCTGAAACTATGACCTTGGATATGTTGCATAGCATATACCTCCTTCTCAGGTTTGGAATCTTTTTTATATTAATCACGTTCTCAAAAGACCAGCGGTATAATTGATTAAAAATGACTGGAGTTGATTAAAATTAGCAGTTTATTAAATATTTTAATAATGCTATTGTGAATTCTCGCAGAAAAATATCTGGATCTGGTACGTTGAGTAACTATTTTTTAATTAAATAATTTATTTGAAAGCAAACAGTTATATAGAATTATTCTGTATTCCGCTGTTAGTTTGGAGATGCTTAGTTCTAGCTAGCTGATTTTCATCAAAAATGTCATTTAATCACGATTATCGCTTTGAATATATAAAAATTATTGAATGCGTAAGGGAAAATTTCTAGTTTCTTGTCAGAAATTATAAACTAAATTGGCATTTCTGTGTTTATTACGATCTCATATTGATTCATTTTCCTGTATTATATTGAAAATTTCAAAATCTTCTTGCTTATATATTTCACTAAACTACTACAATAACGGCTACAGACTACGCTAGTAACAGCAGGGCCCACGTTATGTATGCATCAATTCCCTTTGCATTCATGAACTTTATGATCACTTGAGACTTGGACAAGGCGGCGGTTTTAAGGGGGCCCAGGGGGCTATGGCCCAGGGGGCTATGGCCCCCGGCCCCGCATTTATTGTAGCCAAAATGGGCCCCACACCTAAGAAAAAAGATAGATATTGTAAAGAACAAGGGCTCCGCAGATAATTTTGGCCCCGGGCCCCGCAGTCCCTAAAACCACTGCTGCTTGGACAGCCCCCATCCACCTGCTGCAACCTCCATCTTACCATCCTTGCTGCAATACCCTGACTTTTCAAATAGAACAGTGATGCCTGTGCCAGTTTATGAAGGTCCTCAATTCAGACCATGATATTTCAAATTTGTTGAAAGCTTTAATACCAGTTATGTACCGTTCTTTTAGATTTTTTGAACTTAGGTCTAGGGATGTATTATTGCTGGTGCACTCAGGGGGTACAAAGCTTGTCTGCTTCACCTCTTTTATATTTCTTTGAGTGACCATTTTCAAACGGGGCCAGTTTTTTCTTCTTGTTTCCTTTTCAGATCATAAGCGAGACCAGGAGCGTAGCCAGGATGGTAAGATTGGGACGGGGCAAAGGCGATTTGAACGAGGGAAAAGGAAGTCCACAACCTTTAGGACACAAGAAAACGCTCTTCTTAACGAAAGTTTTTTACCATTAGGGGGGGGGGTCCGATATGCTACCCGCCATATTCCGTGAATCTTGCAAGGAGTAATAATACTAAAAACAGTCAGGAACGATGCAATAAGATGACGATAATAAAATGTAGTCAAATAGAACTTTAAAGCAAATTAAATTGAATTGAATGTGTGTTTACTTTTCAGAATTCTCAGCTTGTGCTCCGTTACTAAATGCTGGATCCTAAGACTTCCATGCAAAAATGAAGGCAGATTTACAATATCCAAAACTGGGTATATATTGGAAAATCATTTATTGAAGAATCTGACCATGCCTCTAAATGAGTGCAAGAAGCATTGCCTTTTGACGCGGAAATGCAAATCGGTCAATTACAAAGAAACGCAGAGCGAAAACTACTGCCAGCTCAATAGCGAAACAATTTCATCAAAACCGAATGACGTCATTCAGAAAACCGACTGGATTCACTTCGCTACAGACCAAACCAGTCGGCTGGTACGTCCTATAAGGTTCTTTCTTAATCAAGGACCGCGCCATTATTTAATTGTTCAACACAAGACCTAAACCCCAGGGGAGTCACTCAAACTTTTATATATGGGGTGATCCATCCACAGATATCAAAATTCCCCAAAATTATCAAAAAAAAATTTAACAGGCCCAAAATTATCAGCTGAAATGTTTTGAAAAGACCCAAAAAATATCAAAACAATCTTGTCGTTGAGCCATGGCAATTTAAACTGTTTCCTATAATAATCAGTTTAAATACGCCTGTTCATTTATTTCTTTTTTTGATATGTGTTGATTGAGCCCTAAATTTGTATTATTATGTGTTTTGGACCCAAACAATCTGTTCATAGGCGAGAGTTGCAGCCCCCCTAATTAGTCAAAATATATTACATTTTCATTCTAGGCTTTTTCGGTCAATTCTGTCTCAATGAAACAACGATTTTCAGGCAAGATCAATACTACGTTCCCCTAAATGTTATGCATCTGCTAGGCAAAGAAACTGTCGTTTAAATATGAATGAATGATTCTGGAAAGAACAAGCGCACATTATTTTGTAAAGAGGGCAACCCACTTGCTAGCATGCGCAGAAGTCAATATCATTAATCGAAAGATCCGGATACGATATTCCATGCTTCTCGTGCTTTATGGTAGGTTTTAAGGCTGTAAAAATCGTTCCGGATTAAATTTTCACCCTTTGTCACTATTATCACGGTCATGTTCTTTTCATAAAATCATTAGTCATTAACCCGAGGCCGTTTTGTTAAGACGACATTACAGAATAGCTGTGAAAACTACATTGCTCCGAATGCGTGCGGGCTGGCGAATTCGAGTTTAACACGCTACGTGTGGACGCAAACTTTTTATAGCTCGCATTGAAAGCTTGCAGATTCAAAAATACCCGGTTACATGCTGACTGGGGCTAAATTTGCTGCACAAAATCCTTATCAAATTCCTTCTTTATATTTGCACAAGAAAACGTGTTTCAAATTCAAAGCAGTTTGTTTTCTATTTCCATTTAGATAGGATCACAGTGTGAAAAAACGAATCCATGCTCTAGTGAGAGTACATGTATTGATCAGTGCGACTGCCCAGGCTATCAGTGCCTTCCTTGCGATTCAGTATACGAAATGGCATACAAGTGGTATTGCCAACGTACAGGTACGTCTTGACTTTAGGCGTTATGCATTTGTAAACTGTGCTTGTCAATTTTGCAAAAATTGTTGTAGGCTCCTTGAAGCCTAATTGTAATTTATGATGAATGGAATATCTTCTAAAAAATAAAAAATCAACATAACTTTTCGCTAAGGGAATAATTTTTAATACAAGAAAATGATGTCATTGTTAGTAATTAAACTCAGAATTGCAAGTATAATCAAGTAACAGATTGAATAAAATAAATAACTTACAATTTAATTGACCACGTATCATGAGGCAAAACCTTGAGGTAAACACTAGGAAATAACTATTTTTTCTGGAGATTGATCTTCTATCGACCTTTTCCGGAGCGGATGTGAACTAAATTCTGTACAAAAAATAGCAAAATGCTTATATTTTAGTATGCAACTACGAGAAGGCTTAGAGAAAGTCTCTACCTTCGATGTATTAAGTGTCCAAAAGATTTAACATTGTAATATTGTGACGTCATCACTTAAGAACTCTATACGTTGCATTTTAATAGGATACAATAGGATATATATGGATCATATTCCATTACATTTCACAATGCTGACTTACATTACATGATTATAAGGAACGTTACGAGAATGATTTTTTAAAAGTTTTTTCATTACCACCAAAAACGAATTAGCCCAGTAAAAAAAGTAGAGCAGACTTTCGTTTTTATTGACTGCATATTTCAGAGTTCAGTCATTAAACGCACACTCTTGCCATTCCCCTTGATAATTTGCACGTTGAATTTCGAGGTGCAGCAAATTTGAGCAAGCGTGACACATTTTTTTGTTTATAATGATACGACTGTTTTGGTGGACGAAATAATTCAGCAATAAACAGCGCAACTGCATGCCATTTTTTGATCCTAGTTCAGGTAATTCTTAACAAATTTTATAATTTTCTGTTTTAGCTGAACCTATTGTTGAGGAATGCCGCATTAACCCATGTAGAAACAAAGGGACATGCTATAGGTTTGCTTCAGGAAACCATTGTATTTGTCCAAGAGGATACACTGGCCCTCGTTGCGAAACATTTGTGCCTCATGGTAAGTACATTCAACAGTTTTGCTGGGGCGCCATGCCCCCCCCCCCAAAAAAAAACTTACGCTGCATAAGTAAAGTACATTTATTTTTAAAAATATGGCTGCTGTTACACTGACTTATCAGGGCTTCCCCCCTCCAAACAAAAATTTGTATCTCTGTGATTTCTGTGAGTACCTGTATAAGTATTTTAAGTAATCTATAAACATTTCGAAAAACATTTACGGCACTTTCAACAACTTTTTGAATGTTCTCCGTAGTGGTCAGATCTCCTATCCTCTAACCCTCCCATCCTCTAACCCTCCCATCCTCTAGCCCCCCCCATCCTCTAACCCCCCTATTCTCTAACCCCCTAGTCTCTATCTCTAGCCCCCCCCCCCATGATATCAATCTGACTACAAAATTAAATATCATGTGGTTTCATAGTACCCAGAAGGATGGACTTTTTGTGATGGCATTGGGGATAGATATCCCAATCATTGGAAACAAAGAGCGGCAGTGGAGTGCTTCAAGTTGCATGTATCAGTTCCAGAAGCTAAACGGATCACAGTTGATTTCATACACAGAGCCTTTTTATTGTGAATTTTTCAAAATGGACTGACAAAAATAGCTTTTGGAATTAACAAGAGAATCAGATAAAGTATAATGGAGATGTTGAAGAGGGTAAGAACAACATGTGGAGGATGTGAGAGGCTTGAACCTACTTATTTTTCACGTGTTGTTAGAGAGGCGGGGAGAGAAATTGACTGACAGAAGTGGATATTAAGAGAACACAAGAAAAGGAAGGAGTTGTTGGATAATATATTGGTAAGGGAGACGTAACGGAAGTTTCGTTAGAAGAAGACTTATGAAAAAGACAAACTATGTAATCGTGTCTTTTTTTGGTTTTCCCTTAGTTTGTATTGCTAGATTCAGGCCGTTTCGATATAGTTGCAAAGTAAATGAATTACAAGCTGAAGAGTTGGATAATTCAGTAGTTGTTTAATTGGGAATAAGAGGTCCCAAAAGAATTTGATGATACCCTTATGGGAATTGTAAGATGATCTAAAGACTATCCATCGCCAGTTGTGCACTGAAAACTACCGTAACAACGAATTA